TGCATAAACGCAGTAAAGAAATTAGGCAGGCAGAGGGCCACCCCACAGAGGACTCCCTGCCAGCAAGTCCAAGCTCAAGACACACCATCTTGCACGGGACTGTCCTAAAAGCCCACCTTTCCCCTAAAGGCAGGGCAAGTGGTGCAGATGCCTGGGAGAGCCAAGCAAACAGGAAAAGCGGGGCCGCGGCTTCGGCTGCCACCCCAAAGGCCACATTCTCCTGTGCACACAGCGGTGGCGGAACGGCCACCATTACCGTGTCCTGTGGGGAGGCCCCCCAGAGCCTCGCCGTCCTGTAGGGGCGGAGCGGAGCCTACGTGGAGCCCCCAGCTGCTTGTCTACTCCAGCACCCAGGAGCTGCAGACCCTGGCGGCCCTCAAGCTGCGAGTGGCCGTGCTGGACCAGCAGATCCACTTGGAAAAGGTGCTTCTGGAAGAGGAGATGGGGTGCAACAGAGGTCTGCAGCCTTGAGGAGGACCTGAGGGTAGGGGCTTGACTGCTCCACCCCCCAGAACCCAGGAGAATGGGGGCAAGCCTGGGGTCTGTGTGTGTGGGTTGGGAAGTGCACGAGCCAGACTGAGCTAGGGATGGCAGGAGGGAGGGGCTGAAGCATGGGGGCTTCAAAGCTTGTCCCAGGATTGCCCCCAGCCTAGGTGCCCCTGATACCTTGGCCCTGCCCTGCCCCCAGGTCCTGATGGCTGAACTCCTCCCCCTGGTAAGTGCTGCACAGCCGGAGGGGCGGTCCTGGCTGACCCTGTGCCGGGCTGCACACAGCCTGCTCTGCGAGGGAGGCGCACGTGTCCTCACCATCCTGCGAGATGAACCTGTGGACTGAGCCTTTCCCATGCTGCACCCACCAGGCCTCAGGACCACCTGGGCGCTGGCCTGCCAGGGAGCATCCCCTCAGCCCTGTTCAGATGGGTATTGGGGATATCTTCTCTGGCACTGTGCTTGGGGACCCAGAGATGCCTGTGCTTCCCTGGGAGACCTGGTGAACTGGACCAGGTGGCCTCAGTGACTCTTCTCAGGACAACTAAGCCTGCTGGTCAGGGCTGACTTTCAGCCTTCCCAAGGCTCCTGGACTCCAGAGGCCAGCGGGGAGCCTTTCCTGGCTCCCTCTGTTTTCTCTCAGTGTAAACC